AGGGGAAACTGTGCGGGATAACTCATCACAGAGCTGAGGCTGGAGTGCAATCTCTGCGAGAAGGATGCCTTTACACGGTAGGACTGAGATTTTTTACCAACTTGGCGCTAAACTGATGGAGTTAAAAGTGGGGAGTTCACCCTAGATTCATTCGCGAGACGACTGGTGTTTTTCATAAACGCGATCCCAGATCGTCTACCTCTGGTTTTACACAATCAGCAAGAAGCAAGTCATAGCATCGTGCATCAGTTGGTCCAACTGAGGGCTGAAGGGCGGTAGTTGCGATCTATTGCTGACCTTGGTGGCAAGGACGGCCTTCCTGAATGCCGGAAGTTGAGCACGGCGGAACATTGAAGAGGCACAAAAACGTCGCCTGGGAATGCAACATTCAGAACATCAACAACGGAATAAAGGTGCAGTGCATCTGACAGATTAGCTTGTGCGTGTGATGTTTGTGGAATATCCCTATCATTACTGCACTTGCTATCACCGTAATGCTTTTATTACATTGAGAGGCTTCGAGTTTCAGAAATGTAAGGGCAGGGTGGCCCAGTGGTTGCAGTTCAGAGTACCAAGATTGGCTCAGAGAGGCGCGGGTTCGATCCCAGCTCTGTGCGCCAGTTTCTGGTCAGAATCTGCGAGGAGGCCGGGCGGTTAAGCAAAGCAGAATTGGAGCAGTGAGTTGCGAGTTCGAGACGGCAACAAGCTGTGAATGTTCTACGATGTTAAGAATCGGCGACAGGCCTATGGCCTAAAAAACGCTGACACCGCTATTATTATTTATTATTATTAAAAGAAGCTTCAGTTGATAAACCTCAAATACTTCCTGTGGGAAATTATTTTTAATGCCACGACCCTCCACGGTCGCCAGATTGCCTCAAAACAGTCAAGCCCGCCGACAAAAAAAGAACATTTTTCATTATTTACTGGTAAATTTCTAGGTTCCGGTGCAAAATTAATTTTTCATTTTTTCGTACTTTTTAAAACTTAATAAAGAAGTGCGCCATCATAATTTTTTCTGGACAATGCAATAAAAGAAAACTAGACAGCGGAATTTGTCCAGAGAAAAAAAGACCCTGTAACCCACCGGTGCGTCGTGCGGCACTACTTCAGTTACATTTATATTCGATTCAAAATTTATAGCTTTCGACGGATATTGGAATCACCGAGAATTTATGACTCGATTAAAAAACGAATGAAAATTTCAATCATTTCGTTTTATGTTCTAAACTCTGAGATACCACGCATCTTCAAATAAGCTGATTAATCAATGGTATTGTTTAACACGTACGGCTGTTTGAGCTCAATTGACTCACGTCGCAGTCTCGTACGTGTTGGCATCATCTGTTCTTTCCGATCACGTTACGAACGGCCTGTCGGCAAGATTAAGCAGGTTTTGCAAACGGTGGCCGCTCAATTGAACTAATTGAGAGCTTTTTGATTATTCCACTTAACTTGTAGCTATCCAAAATTTGAATTTAAAAATTCAGGTGGTTTATACTTTTTCTCTGAACAATTTCTTTCTTGTCATATTTGGATAACGTTATGCAAATGAATTTACAATATACGTCGTGCGAGTTTATTCATCGCGTTTTTTACAGGAAAAAACGCGGTTTCAGTAATCCTTATCGTCGCTTTTGGTAGATTTTCCTTTCAAGTTGTAATCGAATCAAGCACTTTAGCTTGATTGTTTTAATTGCCGAGTTGCTGTAATGAAATCGGCAGATTCAGGAACTAAAACCTTAACGAAGCATGGGTAGTATTTTTTTAACCTATAGAAATTCAATATTCGCAGAAAGAATCGCCTGATTGTTCTCTATTGCAGGTAGTTTAGGACTGGGTTCCTGTAAATGCGTGGCTGAGCTCGCCTATTAATTGGAAGGATGGCTACAGCTGTGTAAAAATCTTGGGACTTGTTGGACCGCGATCGCTCGTAACAATGTTATACCTGAACCGCATAGTTGATGAGTTTACTGCAAAAAATGAGAAGAACATAAATTTACCGCCTGATTTAATTCATCCAAATGAGGCTTGGTCTCAGATGCTTTGACATCTTTAAACCAAATTAGAAATAAGACCAATTCACGAAACAATTTTTGACATATTAAATCTTCAAAAGCTTGAACATCATCTCTGAGTGGATCATCAGCCACTAAACCTTAGCAAGTCGAACTCTGAATAGTGATTGCCATCTCCCTTACATAAAACGTGAATTGAACGAAACTTTAGTGTCGAAAACATTCGTTCAATCTAGTCAAGCGGTTCATTTACAAGCGAAAATAATTCTACTTGCTCATCATTGCCTTTTTATTCATACAATTTCAAGAAAATGTAGCTTCATGGTATAAAAACGTTACCAAAACAGTGTTCTGTGTTGTATTAAGTAGTGCACTGCAAATACGAGTGCTTCATAGAAGATACTGAGGCAAATATTTCTGGGCTGGTGAAGAGGAGATATCACTGTAAAATTGTATTTACCCAGCTGGTCAACAGTATAGCAATATTCATTTTCCCCATGCAGTTTGCATTATTTCTTAGCTAAATTCTTTGAATAACAAGACGTCATGCACCGAGCGTTCATCCTGCTGGCGGTGGTGCACTTGCTGAGCGGAGTCTGCAGCGACGACGCGGGGCGGCAGGGCAGCAGTCCAACAGTGGAGGACATGCCGATTGAACTGGAAAGTGAGTATTATGACAGTGAAAACAAAAAATCATATTATATGCGCAGAACTTGGACTGTTTCGACTATTTTGTTTTAAAGTACAAGTCATGGTCGCATATTTTCTTTTCCTGACCCATTTTAAGCGGATGTATTTAATACGACATCATTGATTTCTTCAGTATTTAATGTGAAATTCCAACGGAACAATGTATTCATTGTAGACTTTGAAGAACACAATCTAATCATTATCACCTTTGCTCCAATGCGGTGCTTGGAATCTCATTCGCACAAATACCAGGAAACGAAGTAGTGATCAAATATCCTATCACGTCATATGGAGTTCAGCTTAAAAAAGATAAAAAAACGACAAATGAGATACACTTCTTAGTTGCATGGTTGATCATGACGGTGATCACGGCAAGTTCACTCTAATTTGTTAGTCTTCAACACGTATCTGATTTTAAAAGATTTTCTCAATAAGAGGAAGCACATTGTTCAAAGATTTCAGAAATTATCGTTTCAACAAATATTTTTCGCCATTTACCACGAACTGTACTTAATTAAGATGGCAAGTCTCTGTCATACATTATTGCCTTCACCATCAATGAAGGAGATTTCATTAATTCATTTGATGCGTTTGTTATAAAAATTTAATTAATCAACTCTGCTGAGTTATGAATTGAATCCACAGGCTACGGGCCTCGGGCGCGTCTCTTCCTGGGCACGTCTACCAACACGCGCGTGGTGACGTTCACGAGCTCGACGGTGGTGCAGTGCGTGAGCGTTTTTAGCGCACAAGCGTGCGCGGGGCGGAAGAAGAGGCGAGATATCGGCGCAGTAGTACAGCGGTGAGAAATTTTATCTGTAGACGCGGCAATTTTTTTGCTTAATATTTTACCAAGATTTACTTGGGGCTACAATTTAGTTACGCGAAGATAATGTATGAAAAACAAATAGACGTAGTGCAGTATAAATTTTTGAACTGTGAGGTGTCTGAGTCCTGGCGTCTCAATTCACTCTTCCCAATCTCAGGGAAATAGATCCAATTCTGACGTTACGAGATGCTCCAGACCTGGCATCTTCTCAGTCAACTCGTGACGCTGATGACGGAAAGAACAGCGGCCGCATCTTGTTCTACGCTGCCACCATCTTCACTACTCTCACCTACACCACCTTTGCTGACATTGGAAGGACTGCAACCGTGTCCCTCGCTTGCACTGTTGCCGGGAACACAATCACTTTTTGTGGTTGAACTGGAAACTGGTACCTTGACTGTATGTAGTTGATTGCCTAGGCTCCTAAACGTGTGCGTTTTCCAAAATGCGTGCGTCCCTCGCTTGCATCCCTACGGGCAATTTTATTTCACTTTATGGGGTTGAATTTCAAGCGCCTTTGAACTTTTCTCGAGTTCCTTGTAATGAAGGTATAGGACAACTAAATGTATATTGGGAGAATCACGAAAAAAATGTAATATGGAATTTTGAAACAAATAAGATAGCCCAGACATTCGCCTTATCTTTGTAAAAGAAAACGTTTCGGAGTCCAGAGATCCATCCTCAGTTCGACAAACCTAGAAAGTAAAGACAGTCGGTTTATAATCCACACAGCAAGACTGTGTGATATTTTAGCTTAATTAGTCTTTGTAAATTTTAGGTTCTGATGTTAGAATTTGAATTTTGGTTTATAACCTGATTGTATTTACTTTCTAGTTTTGTCGAATTGACGACGGATCTGGACTCCGAAACTTCTTTTATGAAGATAGGGGGTGAATTTCTGTGCCATCTTGTATTTAAATTCCTGGCAAATTCATTGTTAATTTGTGATTTAAGCAATTGTAAGGAATTTACACAATCGAAGAATTTAAATTTTTTATTTAACGCACGAATGAAGATAAAATTTTGGCATCACAGACACAAGGCTCATCCAAAAGAAAGTATAGGATGGTTCAAAAAGGTCAAGTTTGAAGATTTCGTTAAAAAGTGCTAACTGCCACTCTTGATTCAGCCTAGAAATTCAGTTGGTGGTATAATCTAGATCGCTTGCTGGTGTGGTCAATTTGAAGGCTCCAGGTCGGCATACAGTAATTAATAAAGTGCGTCAAGGAGCGTCGACTGCAGCTGTCCCGGTGCAACATGAAGATACTAAAGAGGAGGATATATAAATTCAATTAGGCTTCAGCCACACAACGAACTGGTAATGTATGTATTACTGATATTTGAATTGAGGCTAGAGTAAACATCCAACCTGAGGTTTTTAATGCCCAGCGTGTAAACTTTCTGGTTGCAAATGAATGAAAGTTTAAATTTAGAAATATAGTGGAAATCAGTAAGAAGAGAAGGAAGTCAGACGGAAAAAGACAGTAAGAATAGCTAGAGGTTTATCTGCGCGTGAAAGAAGTGCAAAGACTTCAATTAGGATGGAACAATCCACTGCAGTATTGGGCGAACTGCGATCGTGAACTGCACAAACCCAAATATTTGGTTCGAAACTAAAATTTAATATCGAGATTTGTTAGAAATTCGTTAGAAATTCGATAGAAATTCGATAGAAATTTGATAGAAATTTGATAGAAATTTGATAGAAATTTGATAGAAATTTGATAGAAATTTGATAGAAATTTGACAGAAATTTGACAGAAATTTGACAGAAATTTGATGGAAATTTGATAGAAATTTGATAGAAATTTGATAGAAATTTGATAGAAATTTGATAGAAATTTGATAGAAATTTGATAGAAATTTGATAGAAATTTGATAGAAATTCGATAGAGTTTCGATAGAGTTTCGATAAAGTTTCGATGGAGTTTCGATAGCGTTTCGATAGCGTTTAGATAGAGATTTGATCGAGATTTAATTGAGAGAGATTTGATATAGTACGTTCCTTCAGAAGGTACAACTTAAGGTAATCTGAATCTACAGAAGCAAATTAACCATGGTTGTTGCAAACAAAATATAACGAAAATTACGCGATATTCACACAGAACAAGGATAAGGGAACCAGGTGTATAGGAAGAACCGTAAGAATACCTCATCTTCGAGGACATGGAGCTTGAGATGGAATACTTAATTTGAAGTTTTAATGAGCCGACCAGTGACCAGCTCTGTCAACGGTATAAAATGAACAACATAGTATCTACCTGCAAGCGCCCAACTTCGGCTTGCCCGCACATTTAAACGAAAGAAAGGCGCATTTCGCATTTGGAATTAGTCGTTGGGGTTTCTAGAAAAATGTGAAGGGAACTGAAAATTTATTATCTGTCTGAAATCAAGAATTTCTCACACAATAAAGTGATTTTAATACTTTTATAATATATTTAATAAGACAGCTGTTAGAAAACAAAATTAACGTATTTAGTCATGTTGGTAAACGTGTCTCGTATGGTGTTGACTAACTTAATATTTAATGGGTCATTTGGAAGAGTATGTGGTATTGCCTCCTCAGTAATCGCCATGTGTTCGTGCAAGGAGTTGGAATCTTTGATACTAAAGCGAGCCTAAACATTGGAATTTTCATTCTCCCGTCGTTTACCTGCATGATTCATTAGAGAATGAAAAGAGTGTTGTAAAAATTATAGCTTATAGTTTACAGTTTACACAGTACAGTACAGTAGTACAGTTTTTAATGTTGACCACAATGATGCTGGTAGGTTAAACATGCAGTTAAGAATAGACAATATTATAAGATTGCAGATAGATGTTCGTTCAAAAACAGCATAGGAAAAACTGCGCTTCTGACTGCCTATATATATGGGCTTCAAAATGTGTCCGCAAGAGACAGCAAGACATCTAGTAGACCTCACTGGTATTACATCTAAGTTACATACTCCTACTGCCATTTAATAATCCTTTAGCTCAACCAAAACATTATTTCTTTGTAAATTTTGGAAGTAAGTAAACAAACTACTTTAGGCTGTTTAATTTTCACAAGTCTCTGTGTCTTTTTAGTGCATCGTTGCGTATAAATCTTGCAACTAATGTTATAGCCAGGCGTTGCCACGATTGTTTTTTTGGACAATTTTCTCAGTTTGGATAGGGTGCCGTAACGGACGGAAACAAGTGTAACGGCAAAATTAAAACAATTACCAAAGACAAACATTGAGCAGTATTTTACCGAGGCTTTTTCAGGTTTAGGCACAAATGATTTAAAAATTTGAACTATTTTTTTAGATGCGAAATGATGTGTGGAGTCAATAACGAAAATGGCGTTGAGAAGAAACACGAATTATGTTATTATTATTAACTGAAATTATCGAAATGCCATTTCTGTTTCTATTTGCAGTATTACCAAGGACGTTTATTTACCGACATCAAACGGCAGTTCAAAACTGAGAACGGCAGTTCAAATCAAGTAAACATATCGAACGGAAATAAATTGTTTTCTCTGAATTGATATCATCAACTCCTGCTTTTTCGGGCCTTTTAAATGAATCTTCGCGATCAATAACCTTGCAAGGAGTTGACAATTGTCAAATGTCTAGAATTTTTTGTAGCCCTCAATCACTTCGATTTTTTACGAAGTTCAACCCGAATTTCTGCCTTCTACTTGGATTTGTTTGCCAAATTTCCTCGTGGAAGCCGCAGACGATCGGTATACTATAGAAGCTGCATTTGCCATCAGCGTGGTAATTAAAAACAACAAAATATGGACTATTTATAAATTTCAATATTTACTCAGTACATACCGCAGATAATTTAAAACCAACGAAAAAAAACAAATAAAGGACCAATGTAAATCGAACAAAACCTAGTAAACCTTTAAACAATTAATACATTATATATCGACGTCTAACGATTCAACCGCATGTCAATTCAGCGAGTTTATTTATTACATTTACATTTAAAACTCCGTGCAATTTTCTTGTGTGCGCACAAGCTTTAAGCTACGACAGATGAGTAATTGGAGTGGATCCGATGGACGTTAGGAATAAGAGAAGCGGAAAGGATGATCATACTTTTTAGAGCCCTTGTGATCCCTCTCCACGAGTACTGCTGCCAGCTGTGGATCCCGTTCACGGTGGGTGCAGTGCGGCAGTCGGAAGCGATCCTGCGAGCCTGCAGTTCCTACAGGATCACCGGGAGGAGATCTTTAAACAACTGGCAGAGGCTGAAGACGGGAGAGGCATGTCGTCATTCTGTATACATGGAAAATGATAACAAGACTGGCCCATAATTATTGAAGTGAGTCCTTCATGATAGTGATATACCCCAGTGAGAGAAGGGGAAACTGTGCGGGATAACTCATCACAGAGCTGAGGCTGGAGTGCAATCTCTGCGAGAAGGATGCCTTTACACGGTAGGACTGAGATTTTTTACCAACTTGGCGCTAAACTGATGGAGTTAAAAGTGGGGNTCTCCTCTGTCTCTTATACACATCTAGATGTGTATAAGAGACAGCTGCATGACGGAGGCTGTTTACCGACATGGCGTTAAACTGAAGGAGCAGAAAAGGTGGAGTTCAATCTAAATTCATTCACGAGACGACTGGTGATATTTTTAAGCGCAATACCAGGTCGTCTACTGCTGCTTCTCAACAATCGGCAAGATGAGCTGTAGTTACGGTCAACTGCTCCCCGGACTTTTTCGGCGTGCGCGGCATGCCTGTCGGGATACGAGGAAAGCGGAATACTTAGGCGTGGCAGAGGCGTGGCCTGGGACTGCAACGTACAAAACCTCAAGAAAGGAACAACGTTGCGGTGCATCTGACTGATAAGTGTCAGATGATTGTGGAACCGCACTATCATCGCTGTACTTGCTACCCCACTAAACTTTTCTTACGTAGGGAAGTTTCGAGTTTCATGAGAATAAGCACAGTGTAATGATATCAGGTTCAGTCATTGTTCATCAAGATTTTAAATTTATTCAGAATAAGCTCGAAAACTTAAACTTATCAAAACGAATTTGAGAATCGCAGAGAGAAATTACAGAGAGGACAGGAACTTAGCTCTGCCCTGCTGATATATACAAATGACACTAATAAATACACATTGAAATAAGACTGGAAAATGATATAACAATAATTTATACAAACAATAAACACGACTTTAGATCAAACCACACTTGCACCTGAGAAAGGCGCATACTACTGCTTATAATTGCTCAGTCAGCCTCGCAAGGACACCAGAGACGAAGTGTTTTAACTTGACTGGCCATGCCCTACGACGGGGGCTATTTAGGGCTAATCCTCTCAGTAGCGCGGATCTTACACCAAGCTTCTAGGACATAATGTTTTTTAGAACATAATATAATGCGACAGGAAGTTAACAAATCTCTTTAATAATCGAATTTTTTTAATGCGTGATTTCTCAGAGATGAAATTATAAAAAGAAAATGTTTGAAACCTACATTCATCCTCATAATCGTCCCAAAAGCTGTGGTAAATTTCAATATCAATTGAAAGC